ATATAGATAGATAGATAGATAGATATATGGATGGATGGATAGATAGATCGATGGATCGATCGATTCATCGAATGATCCAGTCAACTGGCCTTCCAAGGATATGGTTCAATCGTTTTTGGGCACCATGCCCACCTGGCTCAGCCAATACGGCTACCAGCCGGACACAGCGACAGTGACAGTCCCAGCGATGTGAATGGTAAACCAACTGGTGAATGGTAGATATTCATGGATGATGTGCTGGATGAAATGTATGGGTGGTAGGTCAATGTATATATATATATATACACATAATACACACCATTGTTTGATGACAGATATATACACTGCTGTTGAAAATCAAGGATGAAATATGGATGAAATTACACAAAGAGGACCAGTTCTGGGTTGGTTTATCAAGTTGGATGGGACCCTGCCTATACTACCTACAGGGTCAGGATAGCGCTACCTTCACAGGTTGGTAGTTTCATGTCTTGCCGACTTTTTCGTCCATACCTAGCATGATTGGGGCCCCAATCGACAAGTATTGAATATTGTTGGGGACAGATTGAAACTGAGCATTTGGCTTTAAATAGTTTTCGTCACTGTAATTCAGAATTCAATAGTTTTAAGGTGTTTTGGGACAGGTTGGAACCAACCATGATAAACCACATTGAACCACCACAAGCGCTGTTACATCCTGGGAAAGTCGCCTGGGCTGCGCAGACTTTCTTTTTGACCCAGCCTGGTGTTTAAGACACCCAGGGCATGGGCAGTCGGCTTTGAGCTAAAAGAACGGGAAGGTGATCAGTGTCAGACATTCAGTCGTGGTTTTCTCTCACTCTGAGGAGGTTTTACCTGATCTCTTGGGACCCACATATTTGGTTTCGCTTCGCAAACAGAGGAAATTCAGTGACCCATATGGGCTTAGAGGGACCGCTAACAAAGCTGAGATACCAATCCACAAGAGATACAATCGACCAGTCATGAAACCAACTGCAGATATCAGCAACTCTGATACAGATGACCATTCTAAACCATTCTACTCTCTGGTAAACGAACTAACATAACGAACTGGAAAGATCCACCATGCTATCAATGGGTAAATCCACTATTTCTATGGTCATTTTCAATAGCAAACTGTTAGTCATAACCAGAGGGTAAATCCCATTAGATCACCATTAAACGACCATCAAATCACCCATTTTCCATGGGTTTTGATGGCCTTAGCTAACATAACTATGGAAAATCACCATTTTGGCTCGGTGCTTTGTTTGTTTCGCTCAGCCAATTGGATCCTTTGTTCATCTCACGGCTCAAGGGTGCGATGCGTTGCCAACCCCAGGAAGGTCTTCGCGGGGGATGGCAGGATTAACAAATCCATCGTTTCGATTGGGATATCATGGCTATAGAATAATGGTAGCTATATGGTAAATTCCAATCTAACATGATATATGATATATATGGTATATCATTGTGTGGTTATTGATATCTAACAGATATTGATATCATGGCTTTAGCTATATATGGCATATGATATTGTCTAACATGATATGCTTAGAATCATGGTCTGATAGGGAACATTGAATGATTGATAAATATATTTGAAACATTGAATGATTGATAAATATGCCTATCTGAAAAAAAAAAACATGGCATCTAGTAATCAGCCACATGGTTAGCCGGGAAATCCCCATCGAAAATCGAGGTTAGCTGGGAAAATGCATATATATATATATAGGGATTTTCCAGCTAGCCATGTTTGACTACCGGAGGGTAACCAATATATGAACCACTGGTTGGTGTTTCGAAATAGTTTCTATTTTTCAATCATAGAGATAAAATGATCTCCAATGGCTATCAGATGGCTTGAGAACACCAATGGCTGTCAGTTTTTTGAGCCATCCCCTACACAATGTAGATGGGCAAAATCCCATGACAACCCAATTCTTTGCAGTGTTTCATAGGAATCCCAATAGTTACCCTCTGGTAAACTAACATAGCTATTGAAAATGGCCATTTATAGTGAGTTTTCCCATTAAAAATGGTGATTTTCCATAGTTTTTTGTATGTTTACCAGAGGGTACCAATTGGCTGAATTCGAGTTGTGTCGCTTTTCGTATTACTTCTGGGTCCCCCGACATCAACCGAAATTCATGAAGATAGAAAATGGAGACATTCGTCAACAATACTCTATATATATACATATATAATCATGATTATATACATATACAGCTATACATATACATATATATATAGATACATCAATACACAATTATATTAATACAAGTTTACAGACTTATGGAACAAGCTTCTGGGATCCCCAGCAGAAACAGTAAAAATATTTTTGGATGTGACCCAACATCCGTGGATTTACTGGAAAATGCCTGGCTTTCGGAAAATTTGCGAAGCGTTTCTCAGGTTCACCCTGATCATGCCAGAAGCTCAGAGGGATGAAATGGACCCGGCTTGGTAGTTAAAAACTTCATCCTTGAAAGAAATATGTTGGACAGATTTCTAAAATGTCAGGTTGAGCAACCAGAGGTTTGAGTACCGAGGTGACTGTCATGATTTGTGACCGATCATGTCTGAAGTTTGGTCACCGAAGGTTTGCAGTTGATTGCCCTTCGTTAGTCATGGAGGTTTCCTAAGTCATGGGGGTACCCCAAGTCACCATGGCTTTCAATACTAATTCATGGTCTAATGACTTGGATGATGTCGGGGTATCCCATGATGAAAAGTTCTACGCCAGGACGGAGGAAGAAGCCTATGATGAGAAGGAGCATTTCGAAAGTGCAAGAGAAGCGCGGAAGATTAGGATGTGCATATTCCGAAGGATAACTCATATAATGTGTACATATATATATATATACACATACATACATACATTTACATTACATTACATTACATAACATTACATTGCATTACATTAAAATACAGTACAGGACAGTACAGGACAGTATATTACATTACATTACATTTCATTACATTTCATTACATTTCATTACATACATTATATGTATGTATGTAACCCAATCCACACAAATCTGTATGTCTATATATATGATAATTAGTCCATATCTAATCCATATGTAATCCATGTACGATCCATATGTGATTGCGGATATTTCCATATACCTCATTCGTTGGTCCTGCCTCGCGTTGATTTTTACATCTCCAACGAATCCTTGGGAATATGAGGAATATGAAGCAGAGAATCATCAGAGAATCACCAGATGTTACATCAGATAATCCATTAATCATAGAATTGGATGATGGGAAAATTTACAGGAAAACCCTATATTTGATGGTAGAAACCATGGTTTCCTGTAGATTTTCCCTTAAACCAACCCAATGATTTAATACCAGATATGATCAGTAACATGAAAATCGTTGATCTGAGAGAATCGCCAGATGTTAGTATCTGATCATTTGCTTGATTAGTCTACAGATATGATCAGAGAATCAATCAGCTGCAGATAATCAATTATAATCAGATATTTTAGTAGCTGATCGAATTAATCCATATAATGAGAGATATTGCCAGGAATCTGACAGTATTATACAATGATGACCCAAGAATCAAGTTAGAAATTTCCAGATAGAACATAACTGCAGTAGCTAAGATCATTTGGTAGCCCATTGAGGGATTTCATCAGACAAAACCACATATACACATATATGGGTATGGGTCAATACCTATAGATACATTTTTAGTGGAATGAACATCCATTTACCAGCTATTTTGATGTTCACCAGGGGTACAAGGTTTTGACACACTGCCATATAATCAAGAACTTAAATCTTGGAAGTTCCACCAAGTACTTGCCATCTTACGATTTGACATTTGCCAAGCCAATGGGTTCGTGATGAGTTAATCTTGGTCATTGGTGTTGTAGGTTGTTGGGTTAATCTCGCCATGTTGAAGATCCTAC